CTCTTCCCCAAATACAAACAGCTCCTTCCTGCCTTCCAGGTTCTCTTTGGCTTGCTGACGGGGACAGAGAACCAGTACACGAGTCGGAGTGGGGCACTGAGCTCCCAGGAGCTGCACAACATCCTGCCCTTGGCATCCAGCCAGATCAGGTGAGGCACTTGGCTCTCCCAGGCATTCTCCTGGCTCTGGGGAAGCAGGTCTGGAATTGCTGCTTCCCATATTTCTTCCTTCCATCTCAAGGTTTGGGCTCCTGCCGCTGAGTATGTCGAGCTCACGGAAGAGCAAGTCCACTGCCAGGAGCACAGAGCGAGTCCAGGTTGGTACAACTGGGCCCTACAAATAGGAATATTTTGCCAATATGGCACTCGAGCTTGTGGGGAAAGAAGAAAGTAGCCAAACAGTTAATATTTCACCTGATTTTTATTTTCGGTAAAATGAGAGTCATTATGGCAACACAGCAGGAGATGGGTTGGATTTCCCCACGACCCTTAAAAAAAACAACCCCTCTGCCCCTGTATTTTTGGGCCACTGCTCTGTGGCAAAACAGGCAATAAGCACCCTGAAACACAGTGAGGATTTACACAGCCCTGGCATTTCAAGGGCAATGCATCCAAGACAGTTCATTGAGGAGGGGCTGCAAGAAAGGCTGAAGGACAGTGGCTAATGACTGAACTCCTTTGCAGTGGGACGCTGCCCTCTAACCCCGAGGAGCCTGGCCTGGTACCTCAGCCTGTGTGAGGAGTGTGTGCTGCTCTCGCAGAGGCTCCGCTCTGTCCTGTGGCTGAGCTGTAGCAGACAAGCCTTGTGTTGCTACATTTCCCCCAGTTTAAAACATCTGCTTAGATGGAGCTCTGTGTGCTGAGTGAGAGCCAAGGAATACTCACGGCTGTGGGAAGCAGGAATTTCCTTTAGTTATTACCAACCCAATGATCCATCTGTGGTGACGTCTTGGCAAGTGGGCCAAGTTGGTGAGTCTTGACAAGAGTCAGGACAAGAGTTAAAGGTCTGGTTTTATCACGAGATGATGTTCAATTCACTCTGCAACTCTCCTTTCTCCCTTACTCAGAACCATTCAGGACCAGACATGACATAAGGGTTGTTTAAAAGCCCAAAGCTTCCCAACAAAGGTATTCCTTACCTCTCATACCTCAGCTGGAGTGGAGCATAGAAGTGTGCAGTGATGTGTGGCTCGCTCCTGTCACTCCCCTCACCTGTATCCTGTGCCAGCCACCTTTCCCAGAATCCCTGACAGCTGCCTGCTCCTTCTTCAGTGCTAAATCACTCCCGGAGAGGTTAAAATCCATAGTTCTCCACGACGAGCTCTCTGCAAGGGCAACAGCCGTGCTTCTACCACGCTGTTATCCTTTGCTCTGAGGGCAACAGCCTCTTCCCTGCAGCTCAGAGTGTTGATGTGGGGTTTGTTGAGCATTGAGTGCCATCTGCCAAGTTCCCTGGCTGCTAACAACAGCCAGGTGCTGCTGTGCTGCTGTCCCTGTGTCTGTCTGTCACTAACCCCCAGCAGCAACACCGTGCCGGACGTTGGTCAGGTTGCCTGGGAAGAGCTGTTCCTGCTGTGGGCTACACCTTGCAGCTCCTGTGGCTGAGGGTGTGGAGCAAGTCACAGGTTTGCTGTAACAGTTACAGTGACTTCTGTGTTTCAAAACTGCCAGGTTGCAGCTCCTGTGCTCCCCAGAGAAGACGAGGCCTCCCGCCCGGGCTCCCTGTTCAGGCAGCTCGTCACCGAGGACGAGGACACGGCGGCGCCTTCGCTCTTCAAGCTGGGCTGGCTCTCGGGCATGACCAAGTGAGGCAGCAGCAAATAAAACGCTGGGCTGTGTGTCTGTCTCCTCTGAGATCCGTCTGTCCCCTGGGCAGGACCGGTGACACCTCCAGGATTGTCAGTGCTTCCCATTCTCAGCCGGATCAGGGTGTGTGCCTCGAACCGGGCACAGCTTGGGATTGTCCTTGTCCCCTGGCTGCTGGAGCAGAGGGGGAGCTGCTCTTTCACCTCCTGTTCCTTACATTGTTAACCTTAAAGTCAAATTAAAGACAAAAAAAATCCCCAAACAACCTACACACTAACAGAAAACAAAACATTTCACAGCTAGAAACGGGTGCTGGAGCAGGGCAAGACTCCTCTGTCCTGCTCTGAGTGGCCCCAGCAGGACCTGCACAAGCTCTCCTGGGTCTAATTTCACATTTTTTTGTGAAGCTCATGTGAGATAAGACTCCTCACACTGAGCTGGGTGGGAGCTCACAGCTGCCCAGGCCTAAGGACCTGCAGTCACTGCTCCTATTCTTAACTGTTCTTACTAACTCTAAATGCTCAAAAAATTATGTTGCCAAATCATTTTTTAACTAGTTTATTGAAATTAAAAAAAGACTTATAAAACTGAAGAGGAACGCTTAAGAGAACTTTACAGAAAGCAACAACTTGCTAACAAACAGATTAGGCAGTCGATTGGAATTGGACAGTTTGCAATCCTATAACACACATGTGGACTCCTCAGTCTCCTCTTGCCACGCACTTTAGAACCACCCCAAAAAGAATCCTATAAAAATTGCTTCAAAGCCCCTTTTGCATTGCAATAGTGCAGCAAACCACAAGTAAACAATCTCCTGTTAACCTGTTATTTCAAATATAGACTGAAAAGGCAACAGGCAATTTTGTGCAATTCCATGTTAACAAACTTTGAAGTTGAAATATCAAATCTACACAGTGCTGTCCCTTCACAGAAGGCAGGGAGCTGCTGGGTCATCATGTAGGGAGGCGTCCCCGGCTCTGTAGGCTGTGGAAGTGGGCTTCCTTCAGGATCTGGTTGATGTGGAAGTAAGGACCTTGGCTTAGTGCAGACTGCTCGTGGAAGGGCTGGGAGGAGACGGGGCTGGATCCCGCAATGCTGGGGTTGAGGCTGGACTCTGCACCACACGCTCTGTCGGGGCTGTTGATGCTGCTGCTGCAGCTGCTGCTGCTGCTGCTGCCGCTGTCGCTGCTGGAGGACTGGGACACACAGAGGGTGAACAGCAACATCAGACACTCCTCTCCTGCCCTCGCCCCAGCTAAGAACCCCCTTTATGCTAAACCCCCTCCCCTCCAGCTTGTCCGCCCGATGGACTGAAGTAAATCCCCCTGGCATTACGAGGTTGTTGTTGCCAACACAAGTGTCCCAGAGCTGAGGGGACAATCCTTCACCCGGGGTTCGCTGACCTCCAGGATGTTGGATTTCAGTCTTTGTGGTTTAAACCCATCAGCTCTGCCCCCAAACCCACGTTAGCACTAGTGAAGTTTGCTGGATTAATCCGAGAATTGGAAAATAAAGAACATTCCTAAGGAGCTGCACGTGTCAGTACAGGCAGGCAGGGCAGGGGGGGAGTTGGAGTTTGGCACTGCTGTTGTAGCAGAGGTTTTACAGGGGCATCATGCAAAGCCTTTTCCTACAAGACAACCCTTCTAAAGTGAGATCTGAAGCATCCAAAGCAAGAAGCTGTTAAAAACAAATGCACCATGACACCCACTTTAAGTCTTTGAACACCTTGACAGAGATACAACTACTCTTCTCCCAGTGGAGTACTGGGATGGCAGTGGGAACTGGTAGTGTCCCATCACAATTCCATGACAATTCGCTGGACACGACAGTAAAAGAGCAAAAGCCACTGAAAAATTCCACATGCAGCAGAGAGAACTCAGGATATGGCTCACAGAGAGGCCAAGGCTCATTTGCCAGCATTCAGGATAACCACATTTCATGGGAATGGCTGGAAGAGCATTAGCCATCATTCTCAGGCGTTCAAAGACATCAAACTGTTCAGCTCACAGCATTTTAAGGGCTGCTAAGGAAAGGTTCCAGTAGCTGAAATATTTTATTACTGTGTGATGTGCTGGTCAGGACCTGCAAATATTTGGGTGAGTCAAATAGTGAGTGGCTACTCTGCCATCCCATAAGTAAATTCACACAAGCATCCAGAGCAAGTGAGAGCAGCTAAAAACTCCACGTTTTTGTAAGTATTGAGCCACAGAAGTCAAAGCTTTGTGCCACAGCAGAGGACAAATTTCAAGAAGTCCCCAGTGATTTTCCAGTCAGCACCACATCCAGGAGGAGGCAATCTGAGGAATGGTGCAAACTGCACCTGACGTGTGTCCAAGGCCCAGGAAGGCACTGTGGATGTCTGGGGTGGACCACAACCCCTGGCACTGACCCACCATGACCATCCAGCCCTACCAGAGCCCCCTGTTTTGCTAAGCACCAAAAACGCTTCAGCTCTGATGGAGCACAGCAAGCCAAGCCAGGGGTCCTGAGGAGAAACACCCGGGGGGAGTCATTCCCGAGGAAGCACAGATGGAACTACAGGAGCAACCAGCTCCTCCTCCTAAAGCTGCTAAGTCTAGAGAGGGAGAGAGCCCTGGCAGGACAGCAGGAGCCAGGAAAGGCGCTGGCCACCCTCCTGCCCAGCAGCACAGAGGGACACACGATGCTGTTACAGGGAGTGAGCCACAGCAGCCTTGGAGAGAAACCCACCGCACAGGACACTTTGTTTCCTTTTAGTCTGCGCTCCTTACTGAGTTTCGTTACAGCCACCTTCTGCAAATCAAGGTAAAAAGCCAAATGAGAACCTGGCGTCACCCACTGCTCCCGTTTCACAATCCCAACAAACAATTTCCAGCGGTTAGTAACCGTTATTTTGTGCACATCCGGGTTTTTCAAAGCTGGCAGAGTGTCCTGGGACGTGCTTCTTGCACCTAAGGCTGTTGACAGACGTCAGGGCTTTTGTCAGACCCTCTTTATTTCCAGTTCTCTAATGCAAAAATTCACTAGCACCAGCACCCCTTTATCACTGCCCCAATCCCATGGAAGACCTACCATTTCCCCAGGCTGTGGTGCACTTTCTGTTACGCATTTGGACTACAATTAGACAAGAAAAGAATCCTTAAAGTCATCATGTCAGCAACGACAGGCATCTACACAGTGCAACAAAGCTTTAAAAGGGCAGAGGGGAGCAGCCCAGTGAAATTTGGGACTACTTTAACTATCAAAAGGGCATCTTCAAGGTTTACTGGACTCATTAACCCTTAACATCACTCTGAGTAGCTCCACAAGTTTCATTTCCAAACAGACGTCCTGTTAAATGTATTAATGTGCAGATCTGTGACGCAGCATCTCGGTCCCTCCTGACAGGAACTGCAGGAACAGCCACTTAGCCCCTGCTGCTCTCAGACTCCCCCAAGATGAGTTTAACAGAGACATGGTCTGGTTTTCACTTAGGATTTTAGACCAGCCCTTCCCTCAACAGAGGGGGACACGATTTGATTTGAGCAGGAACTGCTGCCACGGGCTGATAACCCAGCGGTGTTTCCAAGAGCTGGGGAATCCTCACATCAGCCAGGACAAAGAGGAACCACGAGAAATTCAGGTTTACAGAAGTTATTCAGGAAGGAAGGAGTTAGCCAGAACACCCTGTCCCGCTTCCTTCCCAGGGAAAATCAGGGCAAAGGGTTTTTCACTGGTGATTCCTCAGGTTCTTCAACTCCTCCTGACTCGCTGTAGGGGCCAGCAATGAATTTCTAACCAGAAACAGGGAAAACAGCCCAGCTGATCTCCTGGACAAGGGAGGACAGGCTGAACAGGAAGGGAGATTCCATGGCAAAGGCTCTGCCTCGCTAATGTTTAACGTTGGCCATGGTTCCAGTGAGGTGTTTGCCGTGTGTCAGTCCCTGCACTGAACTCCAGAGGCTTCCTGTCCCCCCAGGGAACCTGTCACCTGGAGTGGCTTCTTCAGGAGAGGCAGGAATGGCACATCCTTACAGCAATTTGCCAAGAAGCAGCACTGATAGAGATTGAAGAGAATCCCAGTTTCCCTCCTGTAAAAGTCAGAGTCAGGGGTGCTGCCTGTCCCGGGTGAAAGGACAATCCAGTGGGAGAAAACAGCAAATCCTTTGGAATCAGATCTAGCTCAGGTGAGCAGCAGGATTCAAAGTGAGGGGCTGAGAGATAACATCACAATCAGCCCGTGTTGGAACTGCCACTAAGGAAAAAACCTGCCTTCATCTCACTCTTCAGACCAATATGTGTAAGACAAAAAAAATGGGAAGAGATCCTGCCAAAAGCCAAGTCCTGTTTAAAAACACAGCTGCCTGATTGTCATACTGGGGTGATGTTCCCAACTAACCTCACTCGGCAAGAGGAAACATTCACTTAAGAGTTGGACTCAATCATCCTTGTGGGTCCCTTCCAACTCAGAATATCCTGTGATTCTGTAACTTCCAAATAAAAAAGGCCACAGGAATCAGGACTTGAGGTGATGTTTCACAAAAAGCAGGTGTGTGACGCCCTGCGATGAAAAGCGACTCTTGATGTGCTCTCAGAAGGCACACATTTCTCCCCCACACACTTTCCAGTTCCATATCCTAGAGCCAGTGAGAATTTTTAATCATCAAGAGGTGTCTTTGCAAACAGCAAAGTATCAGGAAACTAAATAAGAGTGCTACAACTGGCTGAGACTTTCCAAGCGACACCAATCGGAAGCACTTGTGCACAATGAGCACAAGGATTTCTCCCTTTGGCACAGGAAGTCCTTCACAAACATTCAAATAATACTGATTTAATCTCATGGCTTGAATTTCTGGGCATGCTCAGTTCTGTGATCCAGCAAGAAAACAAGGGAAAAAAAAAAAAAAGAGAAAAAGCTCTATTCATCAGGAGACAACATTGTGAGTTCTGTCCCCTGGGGAGAGGGGCCGGTGCTGTTTGGAAAGCTGTGTGTGTCCAGTGGGCACATTCCTCAGCAGTGAGAGCTCCCCCCTGCCTCACACCAGGCTTTAATGTGTTAAACCCAGGCTTTTTCAAGGCAAGAGCATGCAAGAAGCACAGTCTCTGTTAGCCTGAGCAGTGACCTTGCCCAGGGTCAGCCATGCCCGTGCTGTTCCCTTCCAGCACCCAAACACCCAGCACAGGGTTAAGGTCACCCCTCCCGTGTGGCCACAAAACCACTGCCAGTCCTGCTTTTCCGTGGCTCTGCCCAAACACCAGGTGTTTACACAACAAGCAAAGGTGCTTCTGCCACTCACCATCCAGGTTTTTCCTGATATCCTTAATTTCATTACTCCCACTTCAATCCCTCGTTCCACACTAAATTCTTCCTCCTCCCGCCACAAAGCTGCTTTAGCCTTTAACTACTCTACACACACGGAGGGGTTTGACCTGTTGGACAAGTGATTCGGTGTCAGATGGCAACAAACTAGCGATGGTTCTCCCCTCACACCCAAAAATGCAAAGTCTCACTCCTGGAAAAACAGCAACACACCAACCAGGACAGTTTCAACCCCAGAAAATTCCCTCGTGAAGGACATCACCTCTTAAACCACTTCCCAGCAGTGTCACTATCACACCAGCTACTTGTGCAGGTGACCAGGTTAAAAGAGCCTCCCTCACAACAGGAATGTATAAACACACATTTGAAACCACTTCCATATTATAAAAGAGCTCAAAGTTACACAGCACTAAATATTTTCTGCAAAGAACAGTTAATAGTTCAACAGAACTGCAATAATTCAGTTAATTCAGTAATAATTCAGACTGTAATTACTCATCACAGTCCCCCTTCAAAGTGAGAAGGCTTTACAAAAACAAGGGTATTTCAAAAACCTTAAAAGAAATTAATTTCATTAACTTCCAGGGGCACAGACCAGGAGGGAGCCTCTGCTCTGCACCCTCTTTTCCACGAGTGTTTTGCAACAGAAGGACATTGCTTGGCAGAAATGCTCACAGTGAATTTTCAGGTGATTCATACGGGCAACAACTCAGGAAACCTGGCAGCAGTTGGGAAATCAGCATTTTTTTAAAGCAAATAAACCTCACAGCTCACAACTTGCACCAAGAGAACACCTGTCTGGTGAGGGGTAAGAAAACAAGAGACAGTTCATCCCATGTCCACCAAAAAAATCCCCATGGAAAATATGAGTAAAAACCAAATTGTTTGAGTCCAAACATTTCGGCTGTGAACCAGCAAGTTTTGCTTAAACTGACCAGTTCTAGCAGAGTGTTTTTTAAACACCAGATAAGCACTGGTTGGATTTTTTTTTTTAACTTTCTACCACAAATAATCACCTAAATATAAGTAAATGCAAAGTTGGAGAGTAGGTCGGGCAAAGTGACCACACACTCTTGTGATCCACCCTCATCATCAGCTCAGCTCTGGACACAACTCATCTCACACAGCAAAACTGGACGTGGCAGCAAATGATTTCCTCGTGGCTTCACTTGCATTTGAAATTTATTCCCAGAAATATCCAGGCCAGGGATAACCAGGTTCACTGGTCAAACATGCTGATTTCCCAACCACCTTTTACAGATTCCAATCCCCGATGTCACAAAGTCAAACCTCCCGACCTCACACACAAAGCTGAGGAAAAAAAGAAGTGTTTTCACAACTGCTCTGCATGAAAATATTCACAGGATATTCAGCAAGAGAGGAAACTGCATTTGCCTGGGAAGGCTCTCACCTCAGTGTCCCACGAGTCCTGCAGGACAGAATTCCTGGTGCTACGTTTTGTCTGGGGAACGTGACCATCCTCTTCATTGCCATTCCTTCTCCTCTTCCTGAAGGAAAATTCGGGGAGAATGGGAGAAAACAAATTATCAGCCTACTGATATACCTTCTGGTTTGTTCTCTGAAGGCACCTCTACCAAAAAAAAAAGCAGGAAAGTTTGGTAAATTACTGAAGGATGTATCCAAGCCTCTGAGGTGCTGTGGACTCCCACATTCTCCTTTTAGCTGCTGTTGGAGGGGAGAGACAACAGGATCCTGTTTCTCACAAGAAATCAGTTTAAGGGACATGGACTCACATTAAAACCATCTTTCTAAATAAACTCATTGAACAATTCTCAGCTTTGCCCATCTAAAAATAATCCTGGGCCCTGGAGTGACACCCGGGAACAGAATGAGTGGTAGTGACCACATTTCAATAAACACCCAATTAATTCACCCTGCTCACATGAGCCTGCACTCAGCACCCACGATTTCTTGAGTCTCTCCACTCTGGCAGTTTTTGAAGTCATGTCATGTTCCTGAGCAACATTATTTTCTGTGCAAAAATTAAGTTTTGCCAGGAAACACCCCGCAGAAAACAAACCCTTCCCTGTTTCTGGTGTATCTGCCACCCTCCCATGGCAGCCTGTACTGTCTGGCCTGATAAGTAAGAGTTTTAACACACCAACAACCTAATTTTTATCCAGATCTTTGCAGGCATCAATGCAAAGGGGGGGTTGAAGGAGGGTAATGGGATGGGGGTGGTACTGATATTAGAGACAATACAGGGAAGACCTCAAAGGCCAGATTGGACAGGGCTTGGAGCAACCTGGGCTAGTGGAAGGTGTCCCTGCCCATGGCAGGAGGTGGGACTGGATGGGCTTTAAGGTCCCTCCCAACCCAAAGCATTCCATGGTTCTGTGACATCAACCCAGCAGCTGATCCACAGCATCATCCCAGAATTCCCGTCCCCTGTGCCCACAGAATTTTAATGCTGACATCAAAGGCTTCTTCCCACCGTACAAACATGACAAGTCACCCAGGATCTCAGCACCATCCAAAGCACAGGATGGAGCTCTGCTGGTGCCTAAAATTAATCCCTGCTCGAATGAGTCAAAACAGGCTCGGGGGAGGTATTTTTAGCTGGATCTTTTCTCACAGACAGCACACTCAGCTGCGGGATCTGGCCCACGCCCACAGCTCCCCCACCCCCGGGGCCACAGACACCAAACCCCGTCCAGCGGCTCCCCCCTCTCCCGGCACCACTTTCCGTGGAAGGAACACGTCTATGTTGCCTCTGGATCCCTCCTTCCCTCAACCCCTCCAGGCCAGGTTGGACGGGGCTTGGAGCAACCTGGTCCATGGAAGGTGTTCCTGCCCATGGCAGGGGGTGGCACTGGATGGGCTTTAAGGTCCTTTCAACCCAAACCATTCCACGACCCCACCGCCCCACAACCCTGGGCACAGCCCAGCTCCCACACGCCCCGTGGTCCCTCTGCTTTCTCCCTCACCACCTCCCCTTCCCCACCGATCCCATAAACACCCCCCGAGCCCCCCGCACCCTCTGCATCCCCTACGCCCCTTCGACCTCCCGATCGCACCCAACACCCCCCACCCAAACCCCCACCTCCCCAGCCCCACTTTAACCCCTCCCGGCGCCCCGGGGACCGCTCCCCGCTCTCCTCATCCCTCCCCTCCGCACCCCCCGCCTCAACCCACCCCCTCCACCGCCCCCCTCGACCCTCCCGGTGCGGTGCCCTCGGGGCTGCTCCAGGAGGGCCCCTCACCCTCCTCCCCCGCCCTCAGGCCGCGCTCCCCTCGCCCACCTCTGTCTGGCTCCGCGCTCGCTCGGCAGCGGCTGCCGGCAGCTCATGGCGGCGCGGGGGCTGTGAGGGGGGTGCGGGGGGTCTCTGGTGGCGGAGCCGTCTCTGAGGGGGTCTCTGAGGGCTGGGGGGGGGCAGCGCGGCCCGTCCCGGCCCCGCCGCCGCCGCTTCCGCCGCCGCCGCCGCCTCGCCCCCGCGACGTCACAGCGCGCGCCCGCGCGGGGGCGGGGCCGCGCCTTTGTGACGTCACGGCCGCGCGCCGGTCCCGGGGGCGCGTGGGGGGGGGGCGGTGATGGCGGAACCGGGACCGGGAGCGGGGACGGAGCGGTGCCCGCACTGCCACAGGGCCTTCAAGCGGCTCCGCGCACACCTCCCGCACTGCAAGGCCGCCCCGCGGAAAGGACCGGAATCGGGAACGGCAACGGGATCGGGAACGAGCCTCCGCACGGGCCCCGGCAGCGCACCGGGATCGACACCGGCACCGGCACCTGGATCGGCATCGGGACCGGGAGAGAGGCTCCGCCCGGCCCCTACCACTGCTCCGGGGTCAGCACCGAGTCCGGGGCCCCGCCCGGCCCCCGCCAGCTCTTCGGGATCGGGACCGGGATCGGGAGCGAAAAGGAAAACGAGCCCGGCCCCCGCCACCGCTCCGGGGTCAGCACCGAGCGCGGGCCCCTTCCCGGCCCCCGCCAGCACTTCGGGATCGGCACCGGGAGCAGGATCGGGAGCGAAAAGGAAAACGAGCCCGGTCCCCGCCAC